CGACGCCGACGACGACGACGACAACGACGACGACGATGACGACGCTGACGATAACGACGATAAAGACGACACCGACGACGACGACGTCAACGACACCGCCGACGACGACGACGACGACGACGACGACGACGGCGGCGACGACGACGACGCCGACGTCGACGACGACGAAGACGACAACGACGCCGACGCCGACGTCGACGACGAATACGACGACGACGTCGCAAACGAAGACAACGAGGAATGAGGGAGGACGACGACGGCGGCAACGAGGACAACGACGAGGGAGGAGGCAGGACGGGAAGGACGCGAACGACGAAGAAGGAGGAAGGACGGCGACGCCGACGACGGCAACGACGAGGGAGGAGAGAAGACGACGACGACGACGACAACGACGACGACGACGACGGCGACGAAATATGAGGGACGACGACGAGACGCCGACGACGGAAGACGACGACGACGAGGGAGGAGGAGGAAGGACGACCACGGCGACAACGACGACGGAAACGACCACGACGCGAAAGAGGACGACGACCAGGAACATGAGGAAAGACAGAGGACGACGTAGGCGACGACGACAACGACAACGACGCGGGAGGAGGGAGGGCGGCGACGACGACGACGACGACGACGCAAGAGCGCGCGCGCACGCTTTTGTTGAACATCCGTGTTGCGAAACCTTACGTTTTTGTAGGTTTTTTGGACGCACGATTTTGGAATCCTTCCGAAACCGACGGTTTTTGAAGGTTTTCGGCATACGCGCGCGACGACGCGAGCGTCTGCACGTCGTCCCATTTGCTGCAGGGGATTCTCGCGACGGCACACGCGCAAGGGCGTTCGACAGATTTCGACATGAGCGCGCGCGAAGCCCGTTTGATAGCATTTTGTGGAAATCTTGAAAAACCTATGGCTTTTTAAAAGTTCGCAAGAGCTCGCGCGGAATCTGTTTTAGCAAATCAGTGTTGTGAAACCCTGTGTTTTTGTATGTTTTTTGGAAACTCGATTGCGAAATCCGTCCTGAAGCTGTCCTCTCTACTGCTCGTGCAAACATCCCACCCTCCCACCCGCAACTTGGTCGCAAGACTTCTTAAGGCAAGACCGTGACGGTAGGTACCACATGGCACTTGGCCACGACACCGACGCCGACGACGACAGCGACAACGACGACGACGGCGCCGCAGACACCGACTACGACGACACCGCCGACGTCGACGTCGACGACGACGACGACGCCGACGCCGACGGCGACGACGAAGACGACGACGACGTCGCCAACCGAGACGACGACGAGGGAGGAGAAAAAACGACGACGGCGACAACGACGACAACGACGATGGAGGAGGGAAGACGGCGACGACGCAAACGACGAAGAAGGAGGAAGGACGGCGACGCCGACGACGACAACGACGAGGGAGGAGGGAAGACGACGACGACAACGACGACGACAACGACGACGAAGACGACGACGACGGCGACGAAATAGGAGGGACGACGACGAGACGCCGACGACGGACGACGACGACGACGAGGGAGAAGGATAACGACGAGGGGGGAGTGAAGACCACGACGACGACGACGTCGACGACGACGGCGAAATAGGAGGGACAACGACGAGACGCCGACGAAGACGACGAGGGAGGAAGGACGACCACGGCGACAACGACGACGGAAGCGACGACGACGCCAAGACGACGACGACGAGGAAAGACAAAAAACGACGACGGCGACGACGACGACGACGACGACGAAGGAGAGAGAACGACGACGACGACGCAAGAGCGCGCGCGCACGCTTTTGTTGAAAACCCGTGTTGCGAAACCTTGTGTTTTTGTACGTTGTTTGGACACACGATTTTGGAATCCTTCCGAAACCGAAGGTTTCTGAATGATTTCGGCATACGCGCGCGGCTTCGCGCGCGTCTGTACTTCGTCGCATTTTTTGCAGGGGATTCTCGCGACGGCACACGCGCAAGGGCGTTCGACAGATTTCGACATGCGCGCGCGAAGCCCGTTTGGTAACATTTTGTGGAAATCTTACAAAACCTATGGTTTCCTTAAGATTTCGCAAGAGCTCGCGCGGAAGCTTGTTTAGCAAACCAAAATTGCGAAACCCTGTGTTTTTTTCTGTATGTTTTTTGGAAATTCAATTTTGAAACCTCTCCGGAACCGAAGGTCTTTGAAGGATTTCGGCATGCGCGCGCGACGACGCGCGCGTGTGCACTTCGTTTCACTTTTTGCAAGGGATTCGCGAAAAAGTCTCATGTTATAGCAAAAAATGTCACGGCATAGTGTTTTTTACAAGGGAACCTCAGGGGGGGAACCCGGCCTGGCTGGGATGATATGATTTCATATTGAGGATGGACAAGTGTGCAGAATATATATATATATATATATATATATATATATATATATGAAATTATGCTATCCCAAGGAGAAGCGATAAGTCCGGAGGGGGTAGAGTCTATTCTCTTTTTAGAAAGGAGAATTGACTACCCTGCAACGCGCTTGACCACCTCCACTGCTCGCGCAAACATCCCACCCACCCACCCGCAACTTGGTTTGCAACATCTCTTAAGACCGCGACGATGGGTACCAAATGGCACTTGGCAACGACAGCGACCCCGACGACGACAGCGACAACGACGACGACGACGACGCCGCCACCAACGACTACGACGACACCGCCGACGTCTCCAACGACTTCGACGACGCCGACAACGACGACGACGACACCGACGACGACACCGACGACGACGACGCCGACGACGAAAACGACGACGACGACAACGACAACGACGATGACGACGCTGACGATAACGACGACGCCGACGACACCGACGACGACGGCGACGTCAACGACGCCGACGACGACGACGACGACGAAGACGACGACGGCGGCGACGATGACGACGACGCCGACGTCGACGACGACGAAGGCGACGACGCCGACGCCGACGACGACGACGAAGACGACGAACACGTCGCCAACGAAGACGACGACGAGGGAGGAGGGAGGACGACGACGGCGACAACGACGACAACGACGACAACGCCGAGGGAGGAGGGATGACGGCGACGACGCGAGCGACGAAGAAGGAGGAAGGACGGCGACGCCGACGACGACAACGACGAGGGAGGAGGAAGACGACGACGACGACATCGACGACGGCGGCGAAATAGGAGGGACGACGACGATACGCCGACGACGGACGACGACGACGACGACGAGGGAGGAGGAGGACGGCGACGACCACGGTGACAACGACAACGGAAACGACCACGACGCCAAAGAGGACGACGACGACAAACACGAGGAAAGACAGAGGACGACGACGACGACGACGACGAAGCGGGAGGAGGGAAAGCGGCGACGACGACGACGACGACGCAAGAACGCGCGCGCACGCTTTTGTTGAAAATCCGTGTTGCGAAACCTTGGGTTTTGTATGCTTTTTGGACACACGATGATGAAATCCGTCCGAAATCGTTGGGTTTTGAAGGATTTCGGCATACGCGCGCGACGACGCGCGCGTCTGCACTTCGTCTCATTTTTTGCAGGGGATTCTCGCGACGGCACATGCGCAAGGGCGTTCGACAGATTTCGACATGCGCGCGCGAAGCCCGTTTGGTAGCATTTTGTGAAAATATTGAAAAAACCTATGGTTGTCCTAAGATTTCGCAAGAGCTCGCGCGTAAGCTTTTTTAGCAAATCGACTGCGAAATCCTTCCGTCGTCGAAGGTTTTTGGAGGAGTTCGGCATGCGCGCGCGACGGCGCGCGCGCGTGCGCAGTTCGTCCCATTTGTTGCAAGGGATTCGCGAACAAGTGCTATGTTAGAACAAAAGATGTCCCCGCGTATCGTTTTTTTTACAAGGGAACCTCCGCAAGATCCTGCAGGATCTTGTGCCCTGGCTGACCCCTGTTTGCACTTACCCCCGTCTCTTGAGCCCCGAGTCCACTCCCCGTGTTTTTTCGATCTCGTGCGCATTGCTTTGGCTCGACGTTCCCAGATGCTCATCGATGGTCCTTGCCGAGAGAAAAAAAAACGCACACTTCCGAGCGATGCCGCGCAAGATGGTCCCCAAGATGGCCTCCAAGACGGTCTCAGTGCGCATCCAGGATTACTCCAATATGCCCTCCAGACGGCCCAAGAGTCCCAAGACACCCATGGAGGGCTCCACGACGACCAATATTTTTCAAATATGCCCTCCAGACGGCCCAAGAGGCCCCCAAGACGCCCAAGGAGGGCTCCAAGAGGACCTCCGGGCGGCCAAAATCACTGAGGCCCCTAAGGTTGTTCAATCGTCGTGGCTTTCTCGCCTGTTCGGGCTTCCGACGCTCGAAGACGGCCCCATAAGCCTCCAAGATCGCCCCAAGATAGCCCACCAGGCCCCCCAAGGGCCCGCAAGACGGCCCCGAAACGGCCCAAGACGGTCCCACAGCCCGCCAAAATTGCCCTGAAGCGCCCGAAGAGGGACCCACGACTGCCCAGCACTGCAAGACGGCCTCCGAAAGCCAAGTTGCCCCTCAAGAGGTCCCTCAAGAGGCCCCCAAAAGCCTCCATGAATCCATGAGTCTCCAAATACGCCCCTCAGAGGCCCTCGAGAGGCTCCCAGGAGGCCCCAAGAGGCTCTTCTGCTCCCAAGTGATCCGCCCAAGGGACTGCACAACGTCTGGGTGATCAAATACTCTAATAGCTCGTCCAAGCAATTGCACAACGTTTGGCCGCATGGGCGTCTCCCGAAGATAGGGGACGGCGGTTGTTCGCCATACGCGTCTTCGATACTCCAGCACGCTCTCTCGCAACCTCTGCCTCTGCTGCCGCCCTCCATCCAATGCCCGCTCCTGCCGCAATCTCCTTCAACATAACTGATCGCGCAGGGGACGATGAAGACGAACATGAGAAAGATGAGGAAGGGGGAGGATTCATGGAAGTACATGGGCCACGCCATAAGAAAACCACAATTGCACACTCATTTCTGGAAGAGTTCGTGGCACCAGCCTCTGGACCATGATGTGGCCCCTCTTGCACCTGGAGCGAGTGAGCAACTGAGCAAAGAAACTCCGAATCAAGATGCCATGAAACGCTAGATGATTTGCTAATGGAGGTGGTGTGGACCGAACTCTCCGATCATGCACCACTCACCAAATAATTGGACACGGCTGTCCACTGACCTGCTCGGGCTCCCGCCCGCTGTTGCGGAGTTCACCATCACGGCGGGGCGTGTCTGTCAAGCATCCCGAAGGCGGGCAGCCTTCGACGCTGCATCGGACCTGCAGGCAGACGTCGCATCTGAGTATCGTTTATCCGATCCTCATCCCCAGCGGCGTGGTCTGGGCCCCACTGGCCGATTTACCCTCCTAGATGGGGAGATAGGTCGTTCCCTTCGGGTTTCGCGGGGTGTATCCCCAAGTGGGCTGGTAATTTGGTGGGGGTCTCGAAGGGGATAGGGGATGGGGATGGGGATGGCAATCGGCTAAACGATACCGAGCATCTGTTTCTCGCTCTCTCACATTCTCCATTTCTCTCTCGATCACTCTCGACTGACTCGGGATACCACAGGCTGCAGATCTGCACCAGCACAGGCCTTTCCTGGCCTGTCCTGGGAGCCCTCCTGGCTTGGCCAGGAAATGGACGTGCACGCACCCTGGGCTCCAGATGAGCATGGCCACGCTCGGCGGTGGGCAAACCTCCCTTTCGTAATCCTCCCTTTAGTGAAAACGGCCTGGGACCGAAACCGACGGACCTGGACCCGCAAAAATGACGGCCGCGACGCCCTCTCGCGAGCCGAAAACGGCCAATTCGCTAATCGACGTGTCAGGGTAGGAGGTCTATCAGCCTCCGACACGCTTGGTGCTGGTTTAGCGCTGTGTGAAAGGCATGTTCGGTCCAAAGAGCAAGGATGTCTGGCCCCCCCCCCTCGAAACCTCGACCCCGACCCCGGGGCCAGCTTTCCGTCCCCGGCCGCATCGTTCTCTCACCGGGGCCCGGGGGGCCCCCAGAGGGGAAGAGCAACGCCCACAAAACCTCGAGTCGTGATTTTCCAACGACGCGAGGAAATCAGCAGGGGCCCCTCCTGAGGGGCACCAACAGGGGGTGACCAGCTCGCGGGGGGGAGCGGTGAGCTGGCAGCTGGAATTGGCGATACGTCGCCAACAGATCGACGACTGGGCCCCGCTAGCGGGCCTGAGCGGGGTACACTGTCTACTATCGGGACCCTTCTCGGCGATAGAATGCGCGAGCGTGGGCCGATGCTTCCCCCTGAGCATCTCCTCCTCCTCCTCCTCCTCCTCCTTTTTCTCCTCCTCCTCCTCCTCCTCCTCCTTCTGGGTTACCCCTTGGTTTTCGGGTCATCTCTCGGCTCTCCGTCGGCCGTTCGGGACGACCTGGGCAACCGTTGGCGCTCCCTGGCGAGGCGCAGCCGCTGGAGGGCATCCGGAGGCTGGAAAGCCGACGAGAGCCGACGAAGACGCCCGAAAACCTCGAACTCAGAACCCCGAAAACACTGAAGACCTCAGATCGGAGAGACGTCAGACTCGGGTTCGGGGGATGCGGGTTGGCCTGCCGGGGCCGTCAAGAAAATGACGAGACCCAGTCTGAAATTTGACGCGAACTCCCGCTGCAGACGTCCTTCGGAAACTGGACCGTCACAATCGAGGACGGACCAGCCAAAAAAACGCAGGCAATCACGAGTTCTGGCGAACTTGAGCCCCACGGTTCCCCGACCAGGACGCGAAACCTGGAGAACCCCCCCATTCTAGATGGGGTCGGAGTAGATGGGGTTGGAGGATCGCGCCGCATCGCCGATACGTCGACGATGCATCGGCGACGCATAGGCGATGCACTGGCGGCGCATCGTCGGCGTCGACCAATGGCGACGTCGACGTGCAGCAAAAAGGGCTTCACATCGAGCCGCATCGGCGATGCATCGCCGATGCGTCGCGACCCTCCGACCCCGTCTGCTCCGACCCCCGCTGGGAGGCCTGGAGGAGGAGGAGGAGGAGGGGGGGAGGAGGAGGAGGAGGAGGAGGAGGAGGAGGAGGAGGAGGAGGAAGGAGGAGGAGGAGGAGGAGGAGGAGGAGGAGCAGGAGGAGGAGGAGGAGGAGGGGGACGAGGAGGAGGGGGACGACGAGGAGGAGGAAGAGGAGGGAGAGGGGGAGGGGGAGGAGGAGGAGGAGGGTGAGGAGGAGCGACCGTACCAAGAAAGGAGGGGAGGAGGAGGAGGTTAGTTGGGGACGGGCCTAAAGCCAGGGCACCTCCTCGTTCAGCCAAAATCGGAGGCCTCCGAGTCTGACTCGAAACCGCAGTCCGAGGCTCGGAGGGAGGCGGCCCCTAGGTCCTTGACCCAGGATAAATCCGACTCGGACAGGCCGAACGAAACCAACACCTGCTCTCGCGGGGCGAAGCCCTCCGCGGAGCCGACATTCACAGGACCTGAAACTCCCTGGGGGGCCTGGCCATCCTCAACCAGCGACTGAGCCAAGACCCTCTGCTCGGCGAGGCTCAGGCTCTCATGAGCCCCCAGAGTCAAATTCTTCAGGTCCTTCTTATACGAGGGAAACTTGCCCTGCCGAATCCTTCTCAGCTGGTCATTAATTCCACCCGTCGTGAGTTTGGGCCTGCACAGGCCTTTAGCTCCAGCATTGGGAGCCCCAGAGAAAAACGATCCGCACCGACAACAAAATTGGATCCTACCCCTGGGGTTTCCAGGAGGTTCAATGACAGGGCTGGCCAAAAAAGCATGGCCGTTGGCCCGAAACACTTGCCGAGAGAATGAACGCCACTCCTCCCCCAAGTCCGAAGAACCTCCCACCTCCCTTTGATCGTCGCCCAGGGCCTGGCCGAGGGCCTCAACCTCTTGTGAGTGCTGCCCCTGGCCATCGCTGCCTGTCGACCTGGGCGCTAGGCCTGTAGTGTCACGGGGCCCGTTGGACATCAGTACCTCCACCGATCCAGCCCACCTGCAGGCCTCGCGGGCGAGGCACCTGAGGCCTCTGTACAGGCTGGCCTCTTCGTCGCTGACCCCGTGACACTCGGCTCCTAGTTTGGCGAACTTATCTGCGAGCCCATTGGCCCGTCTTTCCTAAACACTGCTCCTGCCCGCTTCGACATCGGCCGCCGTGGCGTGGCCGAGCGTCTTGAAGCACTCGAAATCGCTGAGAGTGAACGAGCTCCACACGGGGCCCCAAAGATGACCACGGGGGGCTCCAGGGCCCTCCGCGACCCCAGGGCCCCGAGACAGCGAATCCAGAGTGCTCTGGCAATCTATATAGCATTGAAACGGGGGAAGACCAACTTGCGTAAGCATATATACAGCATAGTCTTCCCCATCTTTGCTAGTTTGCTGCGGGGCCGCACTCAGAGGAACTGGACCATAGGCCGCCGAGAGCAACTCCCCATACCTGTCGACCGATACGATACTCCAACCAGCCCGAGTGAGTCCATCGAGGCCCATGTATTTGGCCGACCCGTCCAGGAATAACAACCCCGTCAAACGCCCCGTCTCGGGCCTCTCGTGCCAGTGAACTGTTTGCGCGGGCTCCTCGACGTCGAAGAGCGAGCGAGGGTGAGGAAAGATGCACCTCGCGAACCTCTCCGCCATGAGCGGCCCGAACTGCTTCACTCTCTGCGCACACCTACACAAGTGAGCACTCGCATGGTCTCGCCGCCATGCTTCGTGCGCAGGGCACTCGTGCTGACGGTGCCACAAAGTACCTGGGGCCCCCTTGCACACCTGACAAAGATCATCATCGTGGAGGTTGCGAGCATGAAGTCGGGCTTGGGGCCAGTGAACTCCCGAGACCAAACCTCTTAGACATCTCTGATGGTGCTTCCCCCAGGTTTCGGACTTCTCCTTGAACATCCTGGAAATGCCATCCCAGAAGATAGGGTACACAGGTGGCCCATCAAGGCCATTCTGCAAGAGAAGGGCATGCCTATCTGACGCTCGCACAGCACCTTGCCTGATCAAAGACCTGACCTGCATCGGGGAGAGCCTGAGCAAGTCATGCACAACGTTCAAGTCATCTTTGATGGTGTGCTGGTCTACAAAGTCCCAGCCTATGCCCCGCAACGTTAAAAGCGCGACGTCGCTGGGGGAAGACGCTGACCTCCAGGGCTGAGCTGAATTCTGAAACTTGGCGATCGAGACCCTCATGGTATTGGCCAACACCTGAACGTGAGGGACAGCTTCCCAAACTGCAGTCGCCCACATGAAAAGCACGTGCCCCACGTAAACCACCAGAGGGTCTACCTTGACCCCAAGCCCGTACGTGTACATCCTGAGCCCAACCGAAGCACCTTTAGGGAGCCTGCCTAGGGAACTAGCAGCCCCGATACGGAGCCCAGCCATTTTTGTGGGGGCCACCCCAGAGACCGATGATCCCCATAGGGCCGATGCCACTGGCCCCATCCTGTGAACCATCCCGATGTCGGCTCCAGCTCCTTGTAGTATCTTGAGCCTCCTGGCCCTGCGCGACGCACCTGCAAACCTTGAGTTCTGAATACCGATCCTGCGGAGGCCTCCCAAGGTAGCGTTGGTCCCAAGATTCCTCGCCGTGTCGGTGCGGCAAGAGGTGGGGAGGGACCAGGCCTTGGACAGGTGCGCCTCAACCTCCTTCGAGCAAAGGTAGGCACACTTCTTAAACGCCACAGGGAGCTGCAGCTGCTTGAAACTCTTGATCAGAGACTCTACTCCCCCAGCCAGTTGGGCCGCCACCTGATGCTTGGGCCCGCAACACTGAACAGTGATGTCGTCCACCACATTACGCACATACAACAAGTTCCTGCTCTCGCGGGCCTCCAATAGCGGTCCTAGTAGCAACATCTCGGCGAACGTCGTAGCCCCCGAGCACCCAGCCACGATTGCCCCGTTCGATTCGACGACGGCCGACGAAGCTCCCCCGTAAAGAAGCACACGGTAGCCAGCATAGATGGTACAGTACGCTTTGACCAGCCTGACTGGGAAACCAAACCGTTTAGCTGCAACCAGGAGGTCCCCGTGGTTGACATTCTCATAGAACTTAGCCAAGTCCAAGAGAGCCGACGCTGATTCGAAGCCTGCTTTACGACAATGCGCCCCGAGCAAGTTGTGGACCCATCCGGCCCTCTCGCACGTCGTGTCGGGCCCTGAGCCCCAGAAAAACTCGTACACGTGGGACTTTTCCCATGAGCGGCAATACGGCTGCCTCAATCGGCTCCAGAGCTTTGTGAAAAGGCATAGCAAACCGATCGGCCTGACCCCTCCCGTTGGTTTGTCCAAGAAAACCACATTGGTCAGGAACATCACGACGGCCCCAGGGTCGACCTCGAAGAGCGTCAAAATCTCCAGGAGCCGAAACTGGTAACTTTCGGGCAGCTGCAAAATCCACCTCGGGTTGAATCCATCCCAGCCTAGGCCCGCCGCGGGCCCGTACATCTTACAAACTCGATGTAAATCCTCCAGTCTGAGCGGGGAAAGGGCAGGCTCGTCGGCAGGAACTTCCCAGGAGCTCGGTGCGGGCCCGCGGCCAGCTCGAAACCACATCGGATGCCACGCATCGACAAGCTCTTGCACTGCGGCCTGACCAGCCACTGGAAGCCGAGGATCATCCGACGTACCTCGCGACAAACCACACGAGACCTGCTGCTTGGAGAAGGCATGCGCCGCTTTACCACCTCCAGAGACGGCACTCTTGGCCCATTCCTTCCACTTAGCGAGCTGCGAAGCCGCGTCCAGCCTCTGGCGACGAGCGCACTCTTTGCAGATGGCCCCATTGACGTCGTCGTTCCAGGAACCTTCTCCCGATGCCGCCCTAACAATGGAGTGCAACTGGGCCTTTGTGGGCCCATCTTCCGTCAGCTGGAGGTCCTCCAAAATGTCGAACAGCTTAAGCTTCCAGGATCCCAAAAGAGCTCTTCCCTTGGCACCTGGGTTCCCAGCACTGATTGCCTTTGCCTTCTTGAGCAGGGCCTCGAACGAGATCCAGCAGACAGTCTGCTTCGAAAAACGCCGGCGGTGATCTCGCTCTAGCAGCGCCACTAAGGGAACTTTGCGAGACTTGGGCCCAGCGGAGCGACCTACATACCCTTTCTGATCACTTATTCCATGAATTTCAACCAGGCGAGCTTCGGCTTCCCCGAACCACTCCCGAGCGAGCGTGTTCAAATCTGAGTTTAGAGGGTCGCTCCATTGGATGTCCCTTTCCTGCGGCAGAGGCCCCATGAGCGCGGTGCTGAACGGCTTGAAACGCGTCTGCTGCTGGACTACCGCCGTCTGGCAGAGGTTCCCCAACCGAAGCAGCACAGGGCAATGGGGAAAAAGAGGCGCTCCTCGGATAGCCTGGACATCTTTGATGCACGAACTGATAGCCGATGACACGACGAAGAAGTCAAGCTCCCTTCCTCCCCCGTCATGCTCCGTCAGCTCCTCCTCCTCCATATCTTCTCCCCTGGCAGTCCTAGGAGCGCAGGCCGAGCAGGTTGCCTGGCCAGAAGAGGCTAGCACACCGTGCACATGCTGTATCCAACCTGATAGCTGGAGAGCCGCGGGCGTGAAATTCCAATCACCTTGCACGACCCACGGGCGCTTACTGCATAAAAAAAGCGCCCCCAGAACTTCCAAAAGCTCTAAATTCTCGCCCGTCACGCCTATGTCGTTGACGAGATAGACACTGTAGATCTCAAGGCCCTGGTCGAACCCCTCGTTGATGACCCGACCTACGATCCTCCCGTCGAACCTGCCCAAACCTGGAAGATCCAAGGGCCTCGAAGCGATCTCCCCAGCAACCAAGACACCGACTCCTCCAGAGCTCTGCAAGGGCCCGTCGCCAGTGCTGAGGGCCTTCCCGAGAGACACCTGGTACCCATTCCTGCAGGCCCAACTCTGGGCCGAGATGATCTTGTCGGGGGACTTCAACCTTGTCTCCTGGAGCGTGACCACCTGGAACTTGCTTTGGACTAAACCCCAAGACTCCGCCCCAGATCCTCCAACGTCAGCTTGATCTCGGACCCAGTTCACTACAGTGTCCGCTGTCGACCAACTGTTGACGTTGGCTCCAAAAATGCACAAGTCTGCAGATCCCCGCGCTACACCAGAGACACGATCGTCCGCAAGAAGATTACGAGCGGGAGGTACTTCCGCCCTCCCGTCGGATTTCAACCAATGTGTTTTCGAAACCGCATCTGGCTCAACTTTGGGACGATGGAGGCCACGCACACTGCCAGCCAATCTCGCTTCAGCGTCTGGATGCTGCGCCAGCAAAACATCCTACCCCCCCTCCCCACGCGCTGAGACCCCCGCCTCCTGTGGAAGGGGTGCCCTGGGGGAGGGAAGGGCAGGCGGCGACGACTGTTGCGTCCTAACGCCACGCGAAGAACCAGCCGTCGCCGCCGTAGCCGTCTGCGTCGACGCGCATGCCATCCACGAAGAAGGTCTGGCCTCACAGCTAGGAGATGCCCCCAACCCCGAGGAGCGGGCCAGTTGGGGCGGTAGCCTCTGCGCTGCACATGTCCCCAACCCCGAGGAGCGGGCCAGTTGGGGAGTATGTTCCTGCGCTGCACTTGCCCCCAACCCCGAGGAGCGGGCCAGTTGGGGGATCATCGAGGATGCCGAAGTCGCCGTGCTCGAACTGGAAGCCATCGACGATGCGGGCAAGGGAGTGTGACTTCGAGGGGCTGAATCCCTCCCTCCCTTGCCCAAGCGATACGCCGACGTACTCCTCGCCAAAGCGGAACCGAGCACGGGCCAATCCTTCTCGTCCAACTCCATCAAAGTTCCGTCACGCTGGCGAAACTGCATCGAGTCGAACAGCAGGTCGTCGCGCATGACTGGCACAGCGAAGCCCGTGGCCTGCTCCCAGTCATGGTCCAGGATGTTGCACCTCAGGAAGGCATTCAAGCTGGACTGCTCCTTCGCACCACTGACTGGAGGAGGGCCCTCCACTCCAGCGTCCAGCTCAGGAGCACGACCGAGCCCGCTTGACCCCAATGGCCTCCGCAGCCTCGAGGTACTTGCGCTTGGCGGCGTCGAGCTGCTCCTGACTTCCTCCTTTGGCCTCCTTGAGCTCCTGGGCGGCCTTGTCAAAAGCTGCCCTGCGCTCATCGAAGTCTTCTCCATCCAGCAAGTCCATGTCGATGTCGTCGCCGTCGCCTGCCGTGGCTGCAATGTGCTCGCCGCTGCCCGCCCCGCCTGTAGCTGTACCAGGAGGAGCACTTGCAGCATCAGGCCCGCTGGCCACTGCCCTCTTGGCCTGAGCCTCGGGGGAGGAGGAGGAGGAGGAGGAGGAGGAGGAGGAGGAGGAGGAGGACAAGGACAAGGAGGAGGAGGAGGAGGAGGAGGAGCACACCATCCGGGAAGCCTGGGCCAACGCTGCCCCTGATCCTCTTCCCGCCTCGCGGCCCTCCCTCTGCCGCCCGCCCCCCGTCCCGGCCGCGCGGCACCCCGGGCGCGCCTGAGGTCCGAGGGCCCCTCTCTCGGCGCATCTGCTCCGGCGCCGCCCGGCGCCGCCCCGGCGGCCTCTCCGCCCGGGCAGGAGAGGCCGATCGATCGAGCCCTCGGGCCAGTTTGACGCTACTCCCCCTCGACTAGGATCGAGGGTAGAACATCCACCCCCATATAATGATCACCCCGACGCGCGAGGCCGTTTAGCAAACACGCCCACAGGAGGCATCGAACAGGACATGGATGTTCAGTAAACGCCCGGGGCCGTTTCGCAAACGCCAGTTGTCGGGTCCAGGTGGTTATCCTCCCTTGATTGGAGCCGAGCTGCATTCCCAGATCCAGTATGGCCCATAGCTGTGTCCACTTCGTGGCAAAGGGGGTCGCTGGCGCCACGCGGCGCTGACGGGGGGAGGAGGAGGAGGAGGAGGAGGGAAAGAGATCGGAAGGGGGATTAGACTACCAACTGGACCATCAACGTGTTGGGAAGGCCCCTCGCGGCTGTCACCGCCCCGCCGCGAGCGCCGCCACCCCGGAGGGCCTGTGGCCTGTGGGCCAGTGCGGCGGGGGCAGTGGTGAGGGGCAACGATACGGGGGGATAGGCAGATGGGGGGATGAATCGTCCTTGAATCGGCGACACATCGTCGACAGATCGGCGACAGGCCCCCGGTAGGGACTCCGCATCTTCCTGGGCGGGGTGGGGCATTGGGCCCCTATCGGCGATCAGTGGGCGATTGGGGTCGATGCATCCCCCCTATGCCTTTCCCCCCCTATCGTTGCCCCCGACCTCCCCCTCCCACGGGGCGGCGGGTCCTCCGCGACCCCTCATCGGGGCTGGGGCTCTGCCCGCTGCGCCCCATGGCTGCCGCTGCGGCTCTGGGCCCCGCCCTGCCGCAGGCGTCGGCACCGCCTAGTCGCAGCATCCACTGGCGGGGCAGTCGGACAAATCAGGGCAGCGGCCAATGGGGTTGGAGTGGGGATCGCAGCCGATGGAGCACTTGCTGGATGCCTTCGCTTGCACGTGCACCTGTGCCAGGGCCGCCTTGTCGCAACGTCCACTGGCGGGGCAGTCGGACGAATCGGGGCAGCGGCCAATCGGGTTGGAGTGACGATCGCAGCCCACCTTTCAGGGGCCCGAAGGTGGCGACGGCGACGGAGTCGGCGCAGGCGTCGGAACTGCCTTGTCGCAGCATCCACTGGCGGGGCAGTCGGACGAGTCAGGGCAGCGGCCAATCGGGTTGGAGTGAGCGACGGCGACGGAGTCGGCGCAGGCGTCGGCACCGCCTAGTCGCAGCATCCACTGGCGGGGCAGTCGGACAAGTCAGGGCAGCGGCCAATCGGGTTGGAGTGGGGATCGCAGCCGATGGAGCACTTGCTGGATGCGTTCACCGCCAGAGCGACCCTCGCCTCCGCGCGGCGCAGCTGCGCCATGCCCACCTCGTCGCAGCCGTCCTCGGCAGCGCAGGTCCCCTCCTCTGCGAAGGCTGCAGCGGAGCAGACCACCAGAGCGCTCAACACCAGCTTGCCCAGAACCATGGCTCAATCGATACTGCTAAACCGGGGCTCATCGGGGCGGATCCACTGCAGCGTACAATACTGCCAGTCGGTCTCCCTTGAGCCCAAAAGCTGTTGGCTTCGACCAAGACAGCCGCGATCATCGTCCGGAAGTCGGTTCGATGCTCTCACTGGAGCGAATAAGTCTTCTTTTCTGAAGACGCTCCACGAAATGAGAGCCAATGCCACCAAGCGGCCCCCGAGAGGCCTCACAAGAGACCAAAAAAGCCTCCGAAGGCCGATTGTCCACGACACAATCTGGTTGAACGCCACTACGCACCACAGACAGTATGAGCAGGCATGCGAAAACTGCATGTGCAACTCGCATGCGCGAGCCTCGCAAATCGGGTCCTACGGGAATGGGCCCGACCAGGGCTAGTTGGTGGTCACAGCAAATAGGCACGATATGTTCCTAGCAAACAAAAACAAGCGTCCCCCCTTAGGCATCAACAAATGCTGCAAAAACAAACGTTTCGAGGGAGACGTCCTCAACAAATGGATTCGCTGGCCCCACTCGACCCCGCTATTCATCGAAGAACGCATTCGCCGACCCTACACGAACAGGGCACCGGAGACAGTGGACTGGAGCCCTTTCTGGGAAAACCTCGCAGTTCGCGTCTGCTCCTCCGTCCTCCCTCCTTCGCCTGAAGATTTGTTTTCCCAGGAAGGGCGTCGGCCCAGGACTCTCTTTTAGTTGGTAAGAGGGTCTGGGGTCGGGCCTCGACGTGCGTAGGGCCAGCGAATCAATCTTCTCATAATCATCGAGGTCGCGTAGGGCTGGCGAATTATTGCTTGAGGATGTCTCGGGCGAAACGCGTGGTTTTGAAATCAGCAGGGGGATACCCAACATAGCTTTGTCGGTTTCTTCATACGTAGAAAACGTGCGCGAAGAGGATATCCAACATGCGTCTGGCGCCCGTGTATCTGCCATGTGTTTTTACGTGCCCAGGCCACCCAGGGGGGTATCTAATATAGTTGCCCCGAGCTGGAACCACGTGCCATTACGTGTCCAGGCCGCCCTGGTGGGCATCTCAAATCGTTGTCCCAAGCAGGTGCCACGTGTTGTCACGATTTCAAGCCACAATTGGGTATCTAACATGGTTGTCCCGAGCTGGAAGCACGTGCTTTTGTGTGTACCCCAGGGGATATATAACATGGTTGTCCCGAGCTGGGACCACGTGTTATTACGTGTCCAAACCGCTCACGGGGGGTATGTAACATGGCGTCTGGCCCAGGAGGGCACAGGAAGCCCCAGAAGACTTCACGAAGGCCAAAGAGGCCCCAGGAGGCTCCAGGGGGGCCAGGAGGCACCAGAAGGCCCCAGCAGACCCCAGGAGACCCCAGGATGCTTCAGAAGAGCCCAAAGGGCCCCCCCAAGAGGCCCCAGGAAGCTTACGGGGGCCCAGGAGGCGTTAGAAGGCGCCAGGAGGTCTCAGGAGACCACAGGAGGCCGGGGGAGGCCCCGAAAGGGCAGAGGAAGCATATTGTTATATATTACCCTTTCCCTGGGGATCGAATCCGTTCTGTCTGTGAATTCCTATGAGGATGCATCAGGCGAAACACTTGTTCCCCACATCCTGATTGGGACTGCAGTTTTCCTAGAACACCCTCTCCTTCTCCTTCTCTTCCTTCTCCTCCTCCTCCTCCTCCTCCTCCTCTACAATACCTACAATACCTACCATATCATACCGTACCTACAATACCATACCAAACCAAAACCAAACCTACCATACCACACCAACTATACCACACCAACCATACCAGACCTACCACACCTACCATACCAACCCTACCTTACCATACCATACCAAACGATACGTACCATACCATGCCCTACCATACCATACCACAGCATACCATAGCATACCATACCCTACCACAACTACCATGCCATACCACACCTACCATACCAAAGCTACCATGCCGTACCTACCACGCCAGGGAGACCACTCCCACTCCCACTCCTCCAGGGAGGCCCCGCCTCAGCGAGGAGGGCAATCGTTAATAATGTTATGTATCAGGTGTCGTGCCCCTACCACTCCTCCAGGGAGGCCCCGCCTGAGCGAAATCCTTTCGGCGCGTGCGCGCGAAAAGGGATGAAGCGCTGCGGATTCCTCTCTGATAGTCTTCGTGACCCCCTCTTTTCTGGTATCCCCATCTCCTCCCTTTCCTCCCTTTCCTCCTCCTCCTCCTCCTCCTCCTCCTCCTCCCCCTCCTCCTGCTCCTCCTGCTCCTCCTGCTCCTCCTCCTCTTCCTTCGCCTCCTCCTCCTCCTCCTCCTCCTCGAGCACGCAGCATGGAGCAAAAAGCCGCGGCTCGGCTGCTCCCGCACCCCGCGACTAGCGAACCGGGATTTCCTGCGCGATCCAGGCAAGAGCTCACCATGATCCCAGTTCCCGCCAGCCGCGGGGCGCAGGGGCGCCAGGAGCCAAGATTTCCACGCCCCCTGCGGCTGGCGGGAACCGGAATTTCCGCGCCTTCCAGGCAAGTGCTCTGGAAAATCCCGGCTCCCGCCAGCTGCGGGGCGCAGGAGCGGCAGGAACCAAGATTTCCACGCCCCTGCGCCCCGCAGCTGGAGGGAACTGGGATTTTGCAGAGCACCTGCCCGAAGGCGCGGAAATCCCTGTTCCCAGCGCCCCCCGCGCCCTCGCTCAGGACACCTTCGCAGAATCGCCCAGAGAGCCTGGAGGTGGGGTGGGTGCAGGGCCGCAGGGGATCCGTGCACGGAATTTGCTGGCTTTCCGTACTGAGTTGTTCCTCTTGTTTCCTTTCCCCTTGCGCAGCGTTATGCGTAGGTCTCTTAAGTTTGTTGATTGATCTCTCTCTCTCTCTTGTTTTTTCTCTCTCTCTCTCTTTCTCTCTCTCTCTCTCTCCCTCTCTCTCTCTCTCTCCCTCAATCGATATATTTATATACCGATAGATCTACTAGAACCATCGCGCGCTTCGCGCGCGCTCAAGTTCTAGCTAGGCTTGATGTGCTACCACATGGAACAGCATCTTTGTCGTTTCTTGCTTTCAGGGACTCTCTTGGAGGCCCTGCGCAAGACTCGGAATCGTATAGAAGGAAAACTGCAAACACGCAAAAACATGAATTGCCGTTCGGTATTCAGCGATTCGGGGCCCTCGAAAGCTTCCTGGGTTCTTTTCTGGGGCCTTCATTGTGGTCTGTTAAGCAAAAATAGACAGGGAACGAACTGGGAAAAAAACGGAATTGTGGGATGTCCTTTTTTTGTTCAAGTTGTAGTGCCTGGGCTGTGGGTCAGACGTTTTCTGGATGCAGGCCACGGTCTGTTGGGATGCCTCTCGGGATCTTCGTGCCAAAATAAGCAGAAGGTGGATTTGAAAAAAGGACTTGCAAAATTCCACAGTTTCAAATCATGGGATCATGGGATCTCGATTTCTACAATGGTTTCAGGGGCAGCCAAGAGGACACGAACACGATCCAAGAGAGTGCCAAGACAGAGTCAGGGAGTGCAACAGAATTCCCGAAACATTTTTACATGTGACCCCGAAGTCTTGATGGGGCT